ACACAACTACCCATCATAAATACTCTCCGAAGAGAGGCACAAGGGAAGAGTTGCGAATGAATATCAGTAGAGAGGAGAGATGGTCAGTGTGAGACAAGATAACTTCAGCCCAGTAACAACTGCTTGCTCTTGAGAATTGAATTCAAGTGCCTATTGACAATAATGTCTGTCTGTCTGTCTGTCTGTCAGTTAGTTGAGTCAAGTTGAGTCAGAGGCACACACACACACACACACCACTAAGCCTGCCTGCTCACAGTCTTCAGTGCTCCACGTAGTATCTATGTTGCATGATATAGTGTTTTTTGTTTTGTTTTGAGAAGCGCAGGGGAGAAGGGCGTACTGGAATATCAAAAATTTACCGATCAATAAACTGAAACACTTGTATGCAACATTTTTCCATGTAAATTCCAAATGAAGATGATTGCCTATTGAATTATTTGTCCTAAAAAGAGAAAAAAAAGTGAAAAACTAGTAGGAAGAATTAGACAGAAATTTTCGGCCTAGTTTGGGACTCTTCACGGTACACACACACGCTGCATGGTTCGAGGTCAGGAATTTCAGTCTGCAAGGTGAACTCCAAGACCATTCAGCTAATAAGACTCGATTCAATGGCCAACCCCTTGAATTCCAACTACTTATCGGTGAGTAGTTTTGTGCTCACACACAACCCGGTGGACTCTACTGGTCACAGCTTCTCACTACGACAGTAGAAGAGTCCCAAACTGGGACGAAATGGCTTTTTCAGTACTCTCTGGTTTTCTAACTGATATGAGCTGGTGATTAAGGCTGTAAACAATCAAATCTATACAAACCAACTCTTGAAGATCGTCTCATCGAACCAAATAACACCTGGCTGTAAATATAGTACGAGTGTTTTGGTATTAATTACAAATGTATCATCAACGTAACGTATCCAGATTTTCGGTTTAATTATAGGTAGAGCTATTAATTCTAATCTTTGCATAACGGCTTCAGCTATTAATCGTGATATGGGCGATCCCGTTGGTGTTCCTCCCGTGTTATTTGGTGTGAGTGGTAGGTGTAACAGGGTGAGGGAGCAAGCAATATTGAGGTGAGGCATCGTTCAAGTTCTAGGTAAGGAAGGAGGATGAGGGGAAATCCATCGACAGTGAAGTTGTGAGGCAGTTACACCGATTGAGATGGATGGTTAGGACATTTGTTGGTGACGCATGCATGCCTTTTTGCCTGCCTGCCTGCCTAGTCATCGCCTTCCTTCCTCGACCGACGACTGTTGGAGTGATGTTAGACACTGAATGACATAGGATGGATCGATGAGGTCGGAAAGGAGTTAGCTAGCTAGTGGTGATAGTGGTGGTACAATTTAAAACGAAACATGCCTTCATCATCAGCCAATGAAATTCACAACAGTTAGTTTAAGCCAGCCTACCAGCCAATCAGGTAGGGAGATGTAGACTGCCTGGTTAGGGTCCTCGGGATGGTGATGAGAACCAATCAAGGCTGGAGACAATCGGTGTTATTGACTGGTTGGAAATCTTTCTCAATGACAGTGCAGATTTGTCGTCTCCAGTAAAACTCTATTGTTCTCCCATTATACTCCTATTCTTTTCGCCTCACTCACACTTATGCTTATTATCTCTCTCTCTCTCTGTCTACTTTGAATCTGTCTTAGCTGACTTCTGTTGGTTTGTGTGGTAGATGGCGGGAGTGTGGCAAGTTGAACTGCTTCACATCTGTGTAAAGTAGTTCTACGTTGAAGCTAAGTCAGTCAGTCCGCATCACCTCTGTGTGAGACAAGGGAACTGGTCACACGACAAGTGTAGTTCTTTGCCTGGTACATGAAAATTCTGTTCCAGGCAACTGATCGTCTCAGCGCATGGGATCACCCACCCTGACCACTTGTTACATCTTCAGTATTATAGATGGTATAGGTAAATAAAATTCCCCAGCTGTGATATTTATGACTTTACAATGTATCCTATGACGTTTTCATGATTATTATTATTATTCTCTTGGATTCCAAATGGAACCTACGAATTCAAAACAACATTTCCATTTTTCATTTTGATTCTTTCACACGATTTTGTGCATATCATCCTTGGACACACACACCCAACTGTCTGCTTCCTACCAATACGCGTTCTACTGCAGGAACCGGTACGCCGTGTCTCTTGATCCACACTGTTCGGCTTTGTGTGCCCAATCCAGCTGCATTTTTTCTTCAGAATAGTTTCTTCCCAGAGTTTCTTGTTGTTGTTGTTGATTCTTTAAGATGAAGCCAGTAAAGGCGTCTGTAGATGAAGGAATAACTGACTTCAGTGGTGACTACTAGTGGCGTCCGTCAAGGATGCCCATTATCCCCATTCCTATTCAACTTCATCATAGACGTACTAATGGACTTAACCCTATCACACTTCAGCGACTCAAGGATTGACTTGCTACCAGGGAAGAATCTCGTCGACTTAGAATATGCATGCGGACGACATAGTCCTTCTAGGCGAGGACGCTGACAGAATGCAGAGTCTACTGAACACCTTGTGCAACAGTCTTTGTATGTTTGGCATGCGATTCGCCCCTGTAAAATGTAAGATGATGCTGCAGGATTGGACTTCATCGACCCCTAGATTAGAAATAGGAAGTGAAGTGGTAGAGCACGTTGACCGCTTCACTTACTTGGGAAGTGCCATCAGCCCCAACGGATTGATCTCCGACGAAATCTCAGCACGAATACAGAGGGCTAGTTTCGCATATGCCCGGCAGTTTACGCCGTCTCTGGCGTAGACACGATATCCGGCTAGTTGTCGACCAAAAGGCGTGTGTACTGCTCAGCAGTCCGCTCCGTCCTCCTTTATGGCTGGCTGTGGGACCTGGCCATTGAGAGCGGAAGACATGAAAACATTAGCTGTGTTCGATCATAGGTGTCTGCGTTCTATCTCCCGTGTGAAGTGGTATAATAAGGTGAGCAATATTGAGGTTAGGCATCAGTCAAGTGCTAGGTACGGAGGGGAAATCAATCGATGAGACTGTGAAATTACATCGGCTGAGATGGTTAGGACATGTGTTACGTACGCATGCCTAGTCATCGCCTTCCTCGACAATGGGCGATGTTAGCTGATATAGGTTCAGGCTGGAAAAGAGCTGGTGGCGGTCAAACGAAAACATGGCACCAGTCAATGAAATCTACAACAATTGGACTAAGCCACGTAGGAAGGTGTAGACTGGCTTCCTGACTGGTTGGAGTCCTCGGGACGGTAAAAACCAATGGTTGGAGACAATTGTTGACATGGCCGGCTCAAAATCGTTCCCAATGGCTGGCTGGAGCAAATGCATCCACTCCTTGTGACTTATGATTTCCAATTAAACTGTTTTGTTCTCCGTTATTACTATTCCTTTGTCTCACCACACCTCTGTTTACTGTCTATATTATGCATTTCTCCTACTTTCTTCTCTTGCTTTGTGTGCTTCATGGAGTGGAGGGATTGTGGCGACTTGAACTGTAGCACATCGGTGCAAAGTGGTTCTATGTCGAAAACCGACCGACCGAACTGACTTCACATTAGTGTTGTGAACTCGGAACTTATATTGTGAGAAGCGCAGATTTCCAAATTGATTTCAGCCTGGTGAATGTCTGTGTGTCTGCCTTGCCCTGCCTTGCCTTGCCTTTCTCATCCTGGCTGACTTTAACATACCCCCATTCGTATCGCCTATTTTTGATTGTTTTTTACGCTTTATGAAAACTTCACATATTTTATTTATCTATAATACTGAACTTAAAGGTCTTGAATAGACTTTATATATTATAATACAGGGAGGGAGGGAGGGCTAAATAGTCTATCTAAGTGCGGAGAAGTGATGTTCCAGAGAAAGCTTTGTAAAAAAACCTACATATAAATCAACAATTAATGGAACATATTGTTGTTTTTTTATTAGTGTCCCACAACTTTTATTTATTTATTTATGTGAATGGGCACTTTATAATAACCCAGAACAACTTTTAACACTAAATCACACATTATTCTATCTAACTAAGTGACCCCAGATTGTCCCTAAACTAAAGATGGCTGTCTGAAAAACAAGACTTATTTTGATCCCAGTCAGTGTGTGTGTGTGTGTGTGATCCCAAAGTTTAGCTACCGAAAACACATGCGTAGGAAAGTTTTCTTAAGTGTTAAAGAATTCA